TTTTTTCTACCCAAACCCTTATGGGAAAAAAGTGAAGTGTACATCTTAACAAGTTAAGAGAAGTTAGTGAATGAAGAAACAAGAGAGAAATATTATAATATAATATTTACCATAATTATTAACTACCAATCAGTGAAGCTTGTTGCTCCCTCCTTTTTGAGAAGGAAGAAAGTCTTTGACTGGAAAATTTAAAAGTATAGTTAGTACTAGTTATTGCTTTTTATGCTTATAATATTTGACAAAAATGGAGAATAGTTGCATTTACCAACATGTTTGTTGAGTAGAGGTTTGCTAAGTCACATGTGGGGAAAAAAATCAGCTTTGTCTGTCTTGGTTTTCTTCTGTAGTGTATATGTGACATAAATATTTAGGAACAGGAAACCCAAGGTCTCTCCAGAACATACAACTGCTACTGAAGTGTTCCAACCCACGTATTACAGGTCTGTTCCTGACATGGCACACTAGGAAGGGATGTTTAAAACAATAAAAAAAAAAGAAATGCAAACTCCTAACGAACATTAAAATGGTGCCTACATAATAATAACAGAATGTCCCACTGAAGGCTGCTGGGAATGCATCTGAAGACATGGAGTAAGATAGCTGCTACCTGTGCACAAGGGTGAAATGGAGTTGTAATGTCCTCAGTGTATTCCCACATGTTAGTATCAGATCTTCTAGGAGTGATCAATATTAATGACATTAAAAAGAAGAAAAAAAATGTGTTTTTCTTTGAAAAAAAAAGGCAGTGTTGGCACGTAATTTCTGAATTGAATCAAAATTGTAAGAGTATGTAAGTGGGAAATGTTATTTTAGGCAGCACTCAATAATGCCTTCAAATAAACTCAAATGAAAAATGTAAAAATTTTTAAAAGATGGTGGCCACTTTTATGGACATCAAGAAACTGGCTCATCACTTCTATCCATAAAGTTAATTCCTTAACATCCCTTCATAATAATCTGAAAAAGAATATAATAAAACTAAATGAATTGTAAATGTGAATGAATCATAAAGGGTCTAAGAAATGCAATTCTGAAGGCTATTGAGCCTTAGTTATCCGTTTATGACCATTATAATCATAGTGCCTTAGTTATCCGTTTATGACAATTATAATCATAGTGTCTTAGTTATCTGTTTATGACCATTATAATCATAGTACAGTTATGTAGTCTTTTGCTGTCTTTTGTGTTTTTCTTAATTTCTGACTTTTTGTTTTCCTCTCCCATTTCTAATTTATCAGGACTCCTTGGAAAAGGAATTCAGATATTTTACAAGTAGGTAACCTCACTTCAAGCCGGACTACTGACAGGGCCTCATCAGTAAAACAGAAACTGCATTGATCATGTTTAATAAAAGCAATATAGTAGAGGTTTGGTTTTGCATGCTAAGGAAAGCCAGCAAGACCACGGAAGCACCATTAGGAAGCATCTGTTGTCCTGGGGCAGAAGGCATAAGATTCTGGGGCCATGTGAACGCAGTAAAGGTCTAGGGACAAAGCAGGCGGGACTGCAGGAAGGTGCAGTTGCTGAGTGCATCTTTAGACTGAAGTCCTGCTCACTAACAGTGCCTCTTCTGGCTGAACACAGAAGAAAAGCTGCTGAGGAGAAGTGGAAAATGAGCCCAGATGGATCAGTCTGCCTATGAAGCTTCCTGTGAGAACACTAGGCAAAGCATCACAAGATAAATTAAGAGTAAGAAAAAATTCCAGAGGAAAATAAAGATAATAACAGTAGTTCAAAAGTCTACATAGGGTCAGGTGGAGCGGCAAAACTTAACATCAGTAAAAGGTTTCTGAAAATGCAAAGACCAAAGCTTAGCTCAAAATCCAGTACATAACAGATCCAAGGCGTTTCTGGCACTGCTCACCAGTGTTGCATCATGAGTGTTCACTGAAACCTTCATACTGAACACACACAATGAACACTTTAACTGCACATTTGACACCACACACTACCAGAAACACTTAGGCTCAGACAGAGACCACTGTGAGTTCAGAATTGCTATGATTTTACTGCTTACACAGAAATATCATGGTTTTATTATGGAAACCAAAGGCTTTTAACATTGTTCTACAACCAGTTCTTAGTATTTCTCAAGTTATTATATCTTTGAGTTATATTATGTAATTCTTGGCATTAAACATTGCTCTTTTGATTGCTGAATTGAATTTTATTTAAAAAGAACCATCCAGTAAATTTTGGTCTAGGATAAGGACAGAATTTCTCATAATTTAAAAACTGGTCCTAAACATACGTCTACTTTTTGTCATCTACTATGTAAGTTAACAT